CTCAGGCTCTTGGTTCTAGCCCTTTCTTTTTTGCTTAAAGATAATGCTCTACATGTCGAGTCACACTTCCTCCATTGGCTTTTCATGAAATAAGAGTGTCATGTCCTTTCCTGCTCTGACTGCCTTAGAACCACAATGTTCATATCTCAGCCTTCTGAAAAGCTAGATTAGGGGCTGGGAAGGTGGCTTAGTGGTAGAGTACTTGCCTTGCATGCATGAGGCCCTGGATTCGATTCCTCAGCACCACATAAGCAAACAGAAAAAAGCTGGAAGTGGCGCTGTGGCTCAAGTGGTAGAGCGCTAGCCTTGAGCTGAAGAGCTGAGGGACAGCGCCCAGGCCAAGAGTTCAGGCCTCATGACCGGACCCCCCCCCCCCCCAAAAAAAAAAAAAAGAAAAAAGAAAATGAAATAGGATGTTAATACCTAGTATGATCCCTATGCCTATATTTAGGTGCTAACTAGGTTATTCAATGATAGGGTTAAAATTTTGTAAGTATTAGGTACTCTGAAAATCTAATTTTTTTGAATGATAAGACACTATATTTAAACTTTCATAGCCATTGTGTAAAACAAATGGCCATTTATATTTTGTTAAGAAGGCAAACTAGGTATAGTGGCTTACACCTGTAATCCCAGCTGCTTTACTTGGGATATAGGCTTTGGGAGGATTGCAGTTTGTGGCCACCCAGGCAAAAGTTATCAAGACTCCCATCTCAACAAACACAAGTCATCCAAGGTGGTCACATTGATAGTATCATGTACACAGGGCATTTAGATAGAGGGCCCCATGCCATCCCTGAGCAAAAACAAAACCCTATATGAACAATAACTAAAGCAGAAATGGCTGGAGATGTGGCTCAATAGGCCTTGAGTTTGAACCCAAGCCCAAATGAAAAAGGAAAAACTGATTTAAAAAAAAAATACAGTGGAGCTAGGCTCTGGTGGATGACATCTGTAATCCTAGATACTAAGGAAACTGAGATCTGAGAATCACAGTTCAATTTTCTTTGCTGTTTTCTCAGACTCTGAAACCCCCATCATTTATGGGTTGATCTGTTTGCTGGTGTCACACAGTTTTCTCTCTCTTGGTTCACTTTTTTCACTTTTTTGCTTCTGAGACTTGATAATTTTAACTGTTTTGTCTTCAAGCCTGCTAATGATATGCTGTGCCTTCTCACACCTGTTTGAACCTTTTTAATCAACTTCTCATTTTAGTTCCTTACTAGTTTGAGAATTTCTGTCATTTCTGTCCTTTCAGTTTATTCTTCTTTCATTGTTTTGCCTGTTTTCCTCTTTGAGCAAACTTAAGACAGTTGTTTTCAAATCATTGTCTATTAAATTCAATTTCTTAACTCCTAGTTTGTTTGATTCCTTTGAATTAGCCATATTACCTTGTTTGTTGTATACCTTCTGATTTTTCTTTCTGAAAAGTTAACCTTAGTGGTTAGAATATTTACTGATAATATTGACCTTTTTTCACTAAATTTAACATGTGAATATAGTTTAGTTTATAAAGGATTCTGAACTTCATTAAAACATTTCAATAGTTGTTGGTATTTCCTTTTAAAGACACAAAAGCTGTCAAGTCTTTACTATTCCTTATAGGTTTGTTTTCATCTTAGTTTGAACAAAATCATTTTCCCTTCCTACTGTTCAATTTCATACACAGTTGATAACAATTCAGAGATAAAATCCTTTTTTATTATGGAATACTTGTAGAATTCATACTTAATATGATGTGATACTTTACACCTCAATGTTTTCAGATTATAGATTATAGATTCATGTATTTGTACTGTTATTCTGGCCATTGCGCATTTAAACTAGCTTAAAGTCTCTGGTTTTTCCTTCATGAAGCAGAAAGATATCTGATATCAAAAAATAGAATAAATGTTAAATATTGAATATAATTGTTCATGTATTTAAATTGCATAAACTGTATCCATATTGTTTTACTCATTAGTTTACATTAGCTGTTGAAATACCTTTTAAATAGCATTTGAATTATAACATTTTATTGTTAGATAATTTTTTTCAAATAAGTAAAAATCGGTTATCTTAAACCACATTTAGGTCATTGTGCTTCTTAATCATTTAAAATTTTTGTAAAAAATTAATACTCTGTGTGTGTGTGTGTGTGTGTGTGTGTGTGTGTGTGTGTGTGTGTGTGTGTGTGTGTGTGTGTGTGTGTGTGTGTGTATGTATGGGTGTGTTTGTTATGGGAAAGCAGCCTAGGAATCCTTGTTTCATTTATGGCTACCCGACAACTTAGTTTAAGACTTAGAATAACAACTAAAAATGTCATATTAAACTCGCTTGCACCCTCTGTTGTCATTTTTGGGAACACTACATGTGTTCCCATGATTTTATTGTTATCACAGTTATTTATGTCCCTGAGAAAATTAATACTTCCTGTATTATAATTATCTCTAAATTAAACTCAATAGTGGTGTAATATTGTTCATAATTCTTACTTGTTGTTTCTCTATGTTACAGATATGTTTTTGTCATGTAACAACTTAAATGAGAGATAAGATTTTCTATTTGTCATTGATTTCTCATAGTTTTAAGCCTGTTCACATGTTTCCACAAACTAAAGTCTCTATAATATACAGTACACTGTATTTTCCCTTTTCCATGTTCTATTTGTAAACCTTTCAATAGTCAGACAATTGTCTTCATAAACAAGAATCTGGAATCGTCCATTCTAAGATTAAGAATTTATAAGTATGAGGAACAGATGTTTTCATAAATATTTGCTATAATTAATTTCAACTAGAGGATTGAGGAAACAAAGCAGTTTTCCTGCTTCAAAACTTTATTGATTTTCCCCCCAAATAACGAACTCTGAAATCTTTTTTCTAATATTATTAGTGAAACAGTTGTACTCCTTATTTGGTATGTGTCTGAGAAAGAACAACTGGGGTTTTTTTTAAACCTTTTTTTGTACCTTGAACTTTACATTTAATGTGACATTTCATTTGGTAATGGTTTTAAACCAAAGAAAGCCTTTGTAATATGATGATAAAATTTGGATGTTTGAAAAATCATGTTTCTTATTTGGAGAGTTTTATATTTGATCTTAAATATCATCTTAAAGGAAGATTTATTCTATTGATGAGATTCTACATATTTAAATAGCCATAATGTTTAGTTTTAAGGAGAATCAAGGCTCATATTTTAAATGTATAATGTAGTGTTTTTTCTATGCCGATTATGGAATGCTTCACAGGAAATGTCTGCAAGCTGTTAAATAACATGTGTTATAGGAAACTTTCATTTAACAAGTCAGAGAATATTTTTCCTTGTCTTTTTTATTTATTATAATACTATTAACTTTAAAAGAAGAGGTGTTAATATCTTAACCATATCTTCCAACTTCATCCTGTTTTGAAAGAATTAAAATCTATATAGCTAGATTAGTTACAAACATTTTTTGTTTTTGTGGTTTGTTTTATTAATAGTTACTACTTTGAATGCTATGATCCATTTTAGGATTAAAAATCTTTGATACATATTTTGAAAAAATAAGAGTTAAAAATTGAATAATACTCAGTCCGGTTCTCATCTTTCTAAACACCTTGACACAGCTACAAAAATCTTGACTTATCTCTCAGATTTCAAATGTATAAAAAATAGGTAGTTGTCATTAAAATTGCATTTCAGCTTTCATTAACCATTTAATGAGTGGCATAATTACATAAGTATGGTAACTTAAGTACTAGACTTAATAATTTAAAATAATCTTACTTTAATCTGAAAGCTCTGATCTCCACTGGTACCTAAAATTTTTCAATGTAGATTGAAAGTATAAATTAAAATTGGACAAATCATTGTATTTTATTTTTTAAATATTGTAAGAATGACTGTAACCTGATGTTTAAAAGCTACATTGCAAGGAATAGAAGTATAAAATCAAACTGAATTACAGCTCTCACAATTTTATTTTGAAGTATACTATAGCTACATAAAAACTAGGTTATATTTTTCATGAATTATTAAATTAATTATTAAATATTTTATATTGGGGCATTACTAAATGTTAAGAAAATGTACTGATTTTATTTTTATTCTATACTGATTTTTAAACTGATGTGTGAATTTATCATTTATTAGATTTTATTTTTTTATGTTTTGTATGTTTTTTTATTGTAAAAATGCTGTGCAGAGGGGTTACAGTTACATGAGCAAGGTAATGAGTACATGAGCATTGTTGCTTCCTCCTTTGTTTTTTTCTACCATCCTTTCCCTCCCACTAGAACTACCCACCCCTACTGCCAAAGTCATAAGGTTTGTTTTCAACATAGTGTTTTGTACATCTCATTGTTACAATGGGTAACCCTGTATTCTTATTTAAGCATATGCATACGATATTTCTTTTTTTCAAAAAGTATTGTAAGTGTTACTATAGGAGACACAACTGCCCATTTCTATGGGGGTTTTTTATATGTTTTAAATTTCTGAGCTTCAAACAGTTCAAACATAAAGCTAAAAGTTAAAACATGAAGTTTTTTTGGGGGGGAATCATTGATTATACTATAAAGTTAATTGAAATTTGTTCTTGATCACCGTCACTGCTTTCCAAGTCTGGTTTCTGCTTTTCCTCTGCTTAGGAAATTTCTACATAGTGGAAAAGTGAGAGGCTAGCAAAGGGAGATAAGAGGTCTTCTTTGAGCTGTACCAGTGGTGAGGATAAGTGATCAAGATTACTATTAAAAATTGTATTTTTTGCAAACAGCTTATAATTAAATGGTTTATAAATTTTAGTTTATGATTCTTGAGACAAAAGTACCATACTTGTTTCATTAATGTTACTGATTAATGTTTTTCCTAAAAGGCTCTGAATGTTTACATTCGAAAGTAGTTTGGGAAAGATTAAAAGCAACTATGCATGCTTTGGGAGACTATTAGAGCTCTCAGATACTTTTTCAGCTGAAATGTTCAGTTTTCTAAATTTCATTATTTCAGTGTTTATTTCAGTGTTTTTATTTTTTTTTCAGGAGATTCAAATAAAAATGGAAGAAGAACAAATTCAACCTTAGACTGTGAGGGGACTTTTAATTCATATAGGTAGGTGATAAGTAAATGGCTGCATAATTTTATAAGCTAAAATATAAAACATGATCTTAGAGGATTATAATAATAATCTTAGAATAAGACTGCTACTTGTGCTTTAAAAGAATGATGTATGTGAAGACCATTGTGATGATAGCTGATTGTAATTGTTTCTAGATTTAACAAGTATCTGTAAAGAAAATACAATAAATTCTTGAATAAAAAGCGATAAATGTTTATATCTGTGGTTAGCTTACAGTAGAGTGACTCAAGTGAATGTTCATGTAATAATTAAGCTCCATTATATTCCATTTTATAAGTCTGGATTTTTTATAATATGGTTCTTCTAGTACTACAAGTTTTTCTTTGTTGAAGTTTCTGCTAATACAGAGTATATTGCTTAGGAATGTCTAAGAGAGCTTAAGAATGGAATTTGTGTTTTATCTAAGTATTGTTTGTTAATATTCTAGTTGGGGACATCAGCAAATAGGAAAGCTAGATCTCAGTAATTTTTAAACTAGCTGCACTAAGGATTGGGATCATGGCTCAGATAGTCGAGTTCAAACCCTGGTGCCTTCCTCCTCTCAAAAAAATGAATACACTAGTTAAGAATAATGTATATTTTATCATTTTTGGTAATGGCTTCCTTATGACATATTTTTGTAAATGTTGATTAATTTTTGTCTCTTGTATCAGGGAAATTCAGGAAGACAAAGATTCAAGTTTTTCTGGTAACATTTGAAAATTGTATACTGAACTAAAGTGGTATAAGGACTTAGTCATTTTATTTTATGAAAGAAATATCCTTCAGAGTCAATATTAGTATATTTATTTTTATTTCTTTTTAAATTTTATTTTATTGTAAAGATGCTGTACAGAGGGGTTACATTTACATGAGTAAGGTACATTTCTCATTGAACATTGTTACCCACTCCATTGTTGATCTCCCACTATCCCTTCCCTCCCATGACTCCTTTTCCCCAAGATAATTTGTAAAGTTCATTTATGACAGTGTCCTGTATCATTGTTGCAAGGGGTCATCCTTTGTACTTCTTTCAGCATTTTGTTATTTCCCATCCTCCAATCCAGATAAACAAGATGGAGGGTACCAGAATCAAAGACAGAGATTGCCAGGGATAAACTAATGGAAAAAGAAAAATCAAATAATGTAAGAACAAAGAACTAGATACAGTACATTGGCGATATCAAGGTTAGCAGCTAAAAAAAAAAAGAAAAGAAAAAGACCTGTTGTTTCCATGTCTTGGAGTTCATTTCAATTAGTATAATTTTTTATGTCATATGTTCATAGTTCTTGAGCTATTATGATTCTCTGTCAGGACTAACCTAGGCTTATACTAATTATTACAAATGAGGAAAACCATAGAGCCTATGTTTCTTTGGGTCTGGCTTACTTCACTTAATATGATTTTTTTCCAAGTCTTTCCATTTCCTTACGAAAGGGGCTTAATATGATTTTTCACTTAATATGATTTTTCCAAGTCTTTCCATTTCCTTACAAAAGGGACGATGTCATTTTTTCTGATAGAAGCATACAATTCTGTTGTGTAAATATACCACATTTTCTTGATCATCTATTGCGGGGCATCTGGGTTGGTTCTGTATCTTAGTTATGGTAAATAAATGGATAGGGCATAGGTCGAAAATTCCTAAATAAAATCTAGAAACAAAACAAATCAAAGAAAGTCTGAATAAATGGGATCACATTAAATTACAGAGCTTCTGCATGACAAAGGACATAGGCAGCAAGATAAATAGAAAGCCCACAGATTGGGAGAAGATCTTCACTAGCTATACAATAGACAAGAGTCTCATATAAAAATATAACTACAGCTCAAAAAATTAACCCCCAACAAATCCCCAGAGAAACAACTACCCCATTAATAAGTGGGCTAAAGAATGAAAAAGAGAATTCTCTGGAGAGGAAATAAGCATGGCCAATAGACACATGAAGAAATGTTCAACTTCCCTGGCCATAAAAGAAATACAAATCAAAACTACATTGTGATTCTACCTCATCCCAGTTAAAATGACCATTATCAAGAAAGCAAGTAATAACAAATGCTGGCGGGGATGTGGCCAAAAGGGAACCCTACTACGCTGTTGGTGGGAATGGAAGCTAGTTCAACCACTCTGGAAGGCAATATGGCTTTCCTCAAAGGACTAAACATAGAGCTCTCCTATGATCCAACAATCTCCCTATGGGCATCTATCCAAACGATCTCAATCTAGGACACACTAAAGCTACCAGCACAACTATGCTCATTGCAGCATTATTTACCATAGTTCAATATTAGTATATTTACAATTATAAATGAAGAGACATTTTAATTAGATAGTTTGTTCTTCAAATTAGTTACAATAATAATAAGGTAACAACTATAAAACTTAGATAAGAACCATTATATTCTTGGAAACTCATTTGAATAGTAATAGTATTTTTTATATAGTAAATATGGAATTTATGCTTGTTTTACATTATCGTTTGTAAGCATATTCTATTTTCTTAATTGTCATTATTTTCTTCATATCTTTGACAACTCTTTAGCATCTAGAAATTGCTCTTGCATGTAGGGAGGCACCTAATATAGTAAATGAAAATTTTTACAGTTTGTTTATGAATTCCAAAATGAGATGATAATTGAAATACTTGACATCTCTAAGTTTCCAGTATTATACCATGTTAGATTGGTATACAAAATGTCACCAGTTCTACAAAAGGCTTTTTGCCATGTTGTTCTAAAAGGTATATCACAGCAGCATAGCTCATATGTAGGCATTATATTTTCACTGTAGCATTCTACCTTATAAATGTTACAATTCTCTAAATCTTTCTTTTAATCTTGAAGTATAAACTAACACTTGAAATATTGAATAATAGGCAGAGTTACCTATCTTAATATGTCACTGTTAATCACAACAAAAATGAAAAAAGAGAAAATAAAAGATAGTTAAGAAAATATTCATTATTTGGCAATCTAGCACAAGAATACTAATATATATGTAATCCATGGTGTTAATAACATTAAATATGAATGAAATAAATAGTACAAATGGAAAAACATTTTGAAGGAAGAAAATTTCTGCTTATGTTTTTATGTATTGTTGATGAATTATATTTTATATTTGTAGTTTAGCTAATTATAGGAAATAAGGACATAACACTTTAAGAAGAGTGTTTTCATATAAAGACATAGTGTTGCATTATAGTTCATTTTGTCCTTGTCCTTGAATAGTTTGAGGACTAAAATAGCTTAGTATTATTGAATAATTATATTCTTAAATGAGCTCTTAATTCGAGTCTATGCAATAAATATTAATGTTGTTAACTAAATTTTTAAATCAATGATTGTCACTGTTGTAAGGTTGTGATACTAATTTTTATTGTAATTAAAAAAGCAAGATAAAAAGATCAGATAGTAAATACAGTACATCAAAGTGGGTCTTTCTTTTAAAATTATTGTCAAGGTGAATGTACAGAGGGGTTTTAATTACATAAGCAAGGTAATGAGTACATTTCTTCTCAACCTTGTTATCCCTTCCCTCAATTTTTTTCCTAAGTTCCCTCCCCCCAAACCCCCTCCCCAAGTTGTACAGATCATTTCTAACTTATTGCCTTATGTATATCACTGTTGCTTTGGTTCTCCTCTAGTCCTGTCTCTTATCATTCAGTTGTTTCCCTTCCCTTCCCTAAGTGAAACAAACGTACATATTGGCAGACGAACTCTGTTAGGTAGTATCATAGTATTTAAGGTGTGAAATGAGTATTTTCTAGTCAGTAGGCAACAGCTCTTATAATTAGCTTACTTATGAATTTGACAGTTGGGTTAATTGTAGAATTCATAAAAACACAGCTCTAGGAGGGTATATTTTTATATTAACAGACAGAACCTAGAAGTTGTTGCTGAGTCACATAATGGCAAAAGAGTTGTCAATAAAATTTACTTTTGAAATAAAATACTTTTCTGTTGTCATTACTGTTCATTTAAACCAACTAGAAATAGATGGTCAGAAAGAAATATACATTTTTCTCCCAGTCCTCATATAGCCTTTTTTGCAGCAATTCTACTTTTGTATGATTTCAACTGCCTCAGAAATCCCAGTCTTTCTTTCTAGTTAAAAATCTTAGCACCAGCAGCCTCTCAATTTATGCATACTTGCATTCAGTGTAAATACTAGTTTTAGTGTCTCATCTATAACATGAATAGTATACATTTTAAAGTATTTTATTCTCTTTAAGTAGTTGTATGAAGGAGTTGCCATTCACCAAAGCAGTTAGTGAATACAGCATATCACTGTCACATACCCCTTTCAACATTCTTACCCACCCCTCTGAAAGCACCCTTTTCTTATTTAATTTTAGGTTATGTATTAACCTGGCTCTTTCCCACAATGTTTGTAAAGATTAAGCTAAAGTATGTAAAACAAAACCTCTGAAAATTTAAATGCAGAACCTTGGTACCATTATTTTGTGTTTATCCAGTGAGAACTGGTAACTTCGTTGCTTCAATGTTTGCAGCATTTATTGAGGTTTTATTAACTTGTGAGTTAAGTCTCAGATCAACACACTTAAAGCATTTTTTAAATTTTAGTTTACTGGTATTGTGTATTTAGATCGCCAGATTTCAAGAGGCCATAATCTTTCACTCTTTCTTGTTTGCTTTCAAAATAATATCTAAATATAGTATATTGGTTGAACTATTGATTGAAATTATTTTGAAGACTTTGAACAAATCTTAACCTCAATTTCCTCACTTTATATAGTGAGGCTAATAAAACATATTGATACAAAGAGTATAATATAATGTTATTTGCTGAAACAAATGAATAAATAGTAGTCACTTTTATATTATCAGTGCCATCATTTTCATTATTATTAACCTTTTGTAATTGTAGAACTTTGTTCAGGGTTCTAACGTACAGAGACCAGAAGGGAGAGGGGAAAATTAGTTCCTATAGTAAAATAATGTTTATCTGTTAATAGCTTAAGAACAAGC